CATCAATGTTTCATATTCATTCATTTATAGTAATTATATAAGCTATTTAACAGTGTTTACTAAGTGCTCACTACATTTTATTTGTTATAACTTATCATTTGTCTACTTGAATATCATACATGTGACATACAAAAAATATTCAATTACCTTATAAATTCTTTGGCTTGTTTAACATCTCTGTTCATAGAATATTTTCCCCAAATCTTGTGTTAATAAACTTCTTGTGGTCACAAGTCTTTTGAGAAATGGATCAGGGCAATGGACCTCTTCCCTCCCACAATGAACATGCTACATTTATACCTAAAAGTTCATAGATTTTTAGCATGTAAGAGCATTTCAGTTATCAAAAATTGATACAGGTAGGGACACTTATCAGATAAAAGGAGCTTCAAAAGTTTTCATTTGAATTATTTCAGAAGAAAATCTAAATCTTCCTAAGACATGTCAGTCATTTTCCTGCCATCTTAATTGATTACAGGAACTTCTATCCTGATAAACAGTGCTGCTCCCACAGCCAGTATCAGCTCCACCCTGCTGGTTTCTTTCAGACCTTCTTTTTCATCATCTCAGCTATTCTATTTGCTATGTACGTGATCCAAACAGCACCATCTCTGCTCCTAAACCCTTCCACCTACACCAGGAACCAGGAAAAACAGAAATACTGAACCTATATTTCAAGTTGAAATAAACTAAGCTATCAGCAAGATTCTGAGACTCTTAATCATATGGTCTTTTTTTTAATATGTAATCAACTCTTTTTTTTTTCCCTCAAGAGCTTATGTTTATTCCAGAAAAGTGAGGCGGCTGTGCATACAGGCTTTATAAAAAAAAAATTATAATCTCTGAAAATATGATGATCTTTTAAAGTTCTTTGTGTAGTCTTACTCTAACATACTAAACAAGAATAGCCAGAAGGAATAAGCAAACTTTATTAGTTACTACTTTATTTTTCACTGACATGCTGAGTGTGTGTGTATGTTTGGGGGCCTGCAGGCATGTGTGTGTAAGTTCCACGTTGAATAATTAATATTTGGATTTGGGATATAAAATGAATGCTAACTCACACATTTCGCAATTTGTCACTGCAAAATATTCTCTCTGGGGGTCCTTGTCCTAAAACATTGAACATCCCTGACAAGACAGTATAGCCATGTTTTATATATACTAGTATCAAACATGATAACATGACAAATTTGAATAGTAAGTAAATATTATTGGCATCACCCAACTTGATATAAATGGGTTGTGATGGCTAATTTTATGTGTCAATGCCCAGATGGCTGGTCAAACAACATTTCTGGCTGTGTCTGTGAGTGTATTTCTGAAAGAGACTAGGATTTGAATCAGCAGACTAAGTACAGACCTCCCTTACCAATGCAGGTGGGCATCATACCATCCACTGTGGGCCTGAATGGAATAAAAAGGCAGAGGAAGGGAGAATGTGTTTTCTGTTTAAGCGGGGACACTCATCATCTCCTACCCTTAGACGCCAGCACTCCCGATTCCCAGGTCTCTAAATTCAAACGGGGACTTAAACCATCGGCCTTCTTGGTTCCCAAGCCTTCAGGTTTGGACTAGAACAACACCGTCATCTTTCCTGGCCTCCAGCTTGCATAGGAAGATCTCAAAACTTCTCAGCCTCTGAAACTGCATGAACCAGTCTCTCAAAATAAATCAATTTCCATGTATCTACATATATCCTACTGATTCTGTTTATCTGGAGTATTATGACTAACATATGGACATTCTTTGGAAAAATCTTAAATATTATTGAGGATAACCTTCTTCTGGTCATCAAACAACAGTTAAGTCAGGTCCTGTGCTAGTATTTGGAAAAATAACAATGAATAAAATCTCTTCTGGTTAGTGTAATAAGTGGGGGATATTTATGCACAGGACATAACGTTTTCTTATATGGACAGTCAGTGCTGCATAAGCGAGCAGAAGGCCAGACAACCACACTGTCTTTACACAAGGGTGAAGGCAATATAGGATGATACTGCTTTTATTTGCAACATTAGACTGTTTTGAGTTACCATGCTTAATATACTTCTTTAATAATGATAAAGGAAGTAGGCGAATCTAGGTAAAGCTTAATTTTAATACAAAAAAATATACAAATTTTTCAAAAATCAATTTGGTAAGTCAAAAGAAAGGTAAAGGGGAATAAATATCTGCAATTGATGGCTATTTTTGGAATTTTTGTTGTAAATAATACAAGTAATACCGGGAATTTGACATGCTGCTTTTCAAACAGCCTAATTATTAGACTCTGAGACTGGCTCTGTTTTTTAAAGTTTTCTTCCAAACACATTCTGAATCAGTGCCATGTTTTGATCTGATAATACTTTTAGTCAGTAATGCATTTTAGAATTAGATGTTAACATTTACAAAAATCAAGAAAACAATAGCTCTTTGCTTTTACCCTTTAAGTTGCAAATTGTCCAATTTTGCATAGCAGACTTCCTGGTTCCTTCTTCCCCTCCAAAGTCATAGTCCCTTAGGTGAGTGGTTCCATCTTGAGTGATCGGCAACCCCAAAATCTCTCTAGGGTTTTCCTTTCATGTGCCCCAAATTCACAGCCCAACATGGCACCCGCTTCCCCCAGAGACATTAGCTTTCCTCTCTTTTCCCAGATACTTTTGAATGTATATTTAATTTGAATTTTCTCTGATTTCTGAATTCATCCTACTGTAAAGATACTATTTCCAGTTATTTTTTTTTCTCATTGCCCATAGCAAAGACTGCGCCCTTCACCCCTGAAGCAGTATAAGGTGCTAGACACGCACTCTGGGGAGAAGTCTGGGGTCTCCACCACCTCTGCAAACTGGACTAAGACATAAGCCTAACTCATAAGACATACGTCTAAGCCCAGGTTCAATTACAGGGTCGGGAAGATCCCCTGGAGAAGGAAATGGCAACCCACTCCAGTATTCTTGCCTGGAAAATCCTATGGACAGAGGAGCCTGGTGGGCTACAGTCCAAGGTATCTCGAAGAGTCGGACGTGACTATGCAACTAACATTTTTAGTTTCTTTCTAACTCATAAGACCTTAAGCTGCATAAAGATGGCCTAAGGGCAGGAAACCCTCTCCAGACCTTTGAGTATTCCACTACACAGGTTCTTCTCAATTGTAGAATATTCCCGGTAGTCAGCTATTACCTGCTACAAGTTGAGGCTACCCTGCTGGAAGATATCTCAGAGTCAAATGAGCCCCTGTAGTTCTAAACGACCTTGAAGCATAGAATGAACCACCACGCCATAATCATTAGGAAGTTATGCTCTGTATCAGTTGAACTCCCCTAGTTAATGCCTCTAAGTTAGGTGTCTTTCTGATCTGCAAACTAAAACTTACATACCCTCTGAATATGAATGTGAGGTAAGATATCTGCATTTAAGCACATCATCACCTACAGTCAGGGGTCTTTATGTGAAGATTGCAAAAACATGACAAATGAAAGAAAATGGGAGTCCCAGTTATATCATGAGAGGAAACCTGAAAGAAACAGAACTATGAGAAGTGCTGCAGTGAAACTGGGGGACACGTGTCTCTCTCAGTTCTGGTTCCTCAGTGTGTGTGCCCAGCAGTGGGATTGCTGGGTTGTATGGCAGTTCTTTTTCCAGGTTTTTAAGGAATCTTTACAATAGCCAGGACATGGAAGCAACCTAGATGTCCATCAGCAGACAAATGGATAAGAAAGCTGTGGTACATATACACAATGGAATATTGCTCAGCCATTAAAAAGCATGCATTTGAGTCAGTTCTAATGAGGTGGATGAAACTGGAGCCCATTATACAGAGTGAAGTAAGTCAGAAAGAAAAAACACCAATACACCAATACAGTATATTAATGCATATTATGGAATTTAGAAAGATGGTAACAATGACCCTATATGCAAGACAGCGAAAGAGACACAGATGTAAAGAACAGACTGTTAGACTCTGTGGGAGAAGGTGAGGGTAGGATGATCTGAGAGAATAGCACTGAAAATGTACATTATCATATGCGAAACAGATTGCCAGTCCAGATTGGATGCATGAGACAGGGTGCTCAGGGCTGGTGCACTGGGATGATCCTGAGGGATGGGATGCGGAGGGAGGTGGGAGGGGGGTTCAGGGTGGGGAACACATGTACACCCATGGCTGATTCATGTCAATGTATGGCAAAAACCACTACAATACTATAAAGTAATTAGTCTCCAATTAAAAAAAAAAGAAAACTGTAAACCTGTATTCACTCAATGCATATACTATTTAGGATGAATATTTCTTTGCTCTTGCAGTTTTTCTTTTAACCACAAAGAGAAATGTGCCATTCAGTTAACATAACTGCTGGAGGCAACAGCAGCAAACGGACCTGTGGTTTTGCTTCTCTGTGTAATGTCTCCTTATGAGAGACAGTGTTATAGGCGGCGAAAGGAGGAAAGATGCTTCCATTCTACCTCTGCTAATATTACGGATCTACTACAAAGGGATCCGAGAGATGCACAGTGTCCTATGATGCACTCAAGTAAACTTCAGTGGCAGCAGCACCGTGATGACGACCCCTAAAGGTCTCTGAACTGGTGTCCCACCCCCATGGAGATTTAGCACTCCCTTGGGACAGCCAGCAAGAAAGTGGATCTGAATCTTCGAGAACAGTGTTCAGAAACCCGCGAAGGTTTATTCTTTATATAATCACATAGCATATACTATATGCTATATATTTTCAACATGAGATTGGACAGTAATAAACGCTTGGCATATTTCTGTGCAGATAAATACAAGTAGGCCTATGTAAATGTATACATGCACACATATGCATGCAAGTGTGCATGTGTATGTGTGTATAACACATATGCTGTTTGGCCCATCAAAAAATCAGACATGAGGTATCCATAATACATTATCCACATTACTCAAAGATAATGGGTATCACACTTAGAAATATATGGCTCAGATACCTGCAATACTTTTTTAAAATTTCAGTAAGATTTTGGAAAAACATTCTATTTCTTACCTACATTTCCAGTCATTAAGTATGAATTCTGAAAGTCCATCATCCCCATTCCAACAATGTGTATAAAATCTTCAATCACCTGCATTAACTCTATCGACCCTGGATAAATCTACAAAAATAAGCAAAGGTTAGATGGAACAAAAAGAAATCTACATAACAGAAAACATAACTGGAGTTAAAAAATGATACAATGGAAACCATAAATCTTAGCAAAGCTGTAAATTTTTTTTTACTTCTTATATTTATGTTTATTAATTTTATTTATTAATTTATTTTTTAAACCATCTAATAGTTGTATTTCTTGAACTAGAAGTTGAAAATGACACCAAACATCACACAGCAAGAACTCTGGAGATAATATGATGCCATGATTAACACTTCATAAATCTAAGAAACTCAAGATATCTAACATTTAGAAGTAGTATGTCTTCACTTTTGATGGCCTCCTTTCCTCACTTAATTAAAACATAGAACAACCACTGAAATTTGAGGGTTTTTAACTTTTTTTTTTTTTTACTTGGGATCTATATGATGAACCCTGAGAGGAAAAAAAACAATTATCAATACCATCATAAATATTTACATACTGTGAAGTTCACTGCAAAATAACTATCTTGGGAGAGACACTTATTTCTAATAATTATAATAGCTACTGTATGAATAATAATGCTGGAAACACTTGCAAGATCATAACGGCTCTAGTGTCTGTACATGCACAAGGTACCCAACACCAGACACCTCACCACACTGGGAACAGATGCATGCTTGCTAACTGATGACCCGATTCAGGCAACAGCTCATAACGAGTGGAATGTCAGGTCCATTTGAAGACATGTGAATTTTAGCGTGTGTAACCCGTCATCAGCCTGCATTATATAGCCATATTAAAGCAGAAGGTCTTTTGAAGTTAGGTTCATTTCTTTTAGTCATTCAGCTTCACTGCAGCTTCTAGCCATAAAAAAGTTAAGTGGATTAGAGAGTCTTAGTGGCTTCCTATTCACAAAGGCTTGAGCAGAAGAGGAGGACACACTCTGATTAGCAGAAAGACTGGTTGGGCAGGGTGGCCAGTAGAACGGTATGTATGCTTTACAGGAACTGTGGCTGCACCAATCCAAAAATCAGACACTTCAAATGCATCATAGACTTACACATAGCTGAAGCCATGAACAATGCCTGTTAGTGCAAAATGTACAGCATAGATAGCTGTAATTTTTTTTAATTATGGGAAGATTTGGGGATAAATGCTCTTTCATTCCTATAGTTACAGTCATAAACTATGAATTCTGACAGTTCATCATCCCCATTCCAAAAATGTACAGGACATTTCCATCAGCTCCAAACTTCCTCCTGCTCCTGTATTTTTTTCTTCTGTTTTTGTGTAGGTGTGTCTATGAGTATGTGTAATATATATAAATATACAATTAAATAGAAGAGGCTTAATTCTCCCTGTTGAAAATAGAGAAGAGACTCCCTCTCTAACTAACCCCTTGTTCCCCTCCCTTTTCTTAGGAGCATTTATTTACTTTAGAAAATGTTGTTGTTCAGTTGCTAAGTTGTGTCTGACACTTTGCAACCCCATGGACTGCAGCACACCAGGCTTCCCTGTCCTTCACTATTTCCCGGGGCTTGATCAAATTCATGTCCATTGAATCGGTGATGCTATCTAACCATCTCATCTTCTGTGCCCTCTTCTTTTGCCTTCAGTCTTTCCCAGCATCAGGATCTTTTCCAGTGAGTCAGCTCTTGGCCTCAGGTGGCCAAAAGCATTGGAGTATTAGAAAATGAGTAATTGTTAAATCCTTTCTATGTCTTCTCTGAAATGTATGTAAACATTTTTGAAAGCTAAACAGCTTCTTCCCAACTTAAAGAACCAGGGATGTCTCTCAGTGGAAAGTGGTCATCAAGGAAGGCAGGGCTCTATCTTGCACTGCTATCGGGGGTGGGGAGGATCCTAATTCAGAGTTGCAAAACTGTCTGCAGGCATTAAGATACAAGAGCTTATTTTTCCTTTAGATAAAGTCAATTAAATAACAAGATGGTCACCCGAATTATCAAGTGAATTTAGGATGAACTGCCTGTGACAAATGGTGTTATCAAGTCCTCTTAAGCAAGAACTAGTTACTGTTTATCTTGAGGACAGAGTGTAATGACTTCCATCGGCTTGGCCGTTTGAAAGGGTGAAATTACTCTGTATCTCTTAGTGGACTGTCTGTGATACACACCACATTCTGGCTTAATGCTTGTTCAATAATAAAACTGCTTTCTTTCTCATCTATCTTTGGGGAGAGGTTTTCTAGGGTGGCAGCAGATTTTGTTCGTAGAAGATTTTGTTTTGTTTATATTTTTCAAGCAGATTTCAAATATCATAGAACAAGGGCTGTTTTTGTATGTGTGTGTGTGTGTGTGTGTGTGTGTGTGTTTTCTGTAAAGGGTCAGAGAATGGCTCTGTGGGTCACAGGGTGTCTATTGTTCCAATACCCAGCTGTGTCCTTGCTGTACCAGATCAGCCACAGATCCAGTGACTATGCTCCCAAACTATTTACAAAATAGGTGTCAGGCTGGATTTGGACCAATGGTCACAGTTGCACACTCCTGTAGAGACACACGAGCTTTCAGTGTAACAAAGAAATGCCAATCACAATATCATGATTGAAAATGACCTGTCCATTCCAACTACTATATTGGTCTATAAAACAGTGCTGTGTAAAATGCAGCCTTTTTTTCCCTACTTTAGTATCCCAAGGTTTGGGGCTTCCCTGGTGGCTCAGATAGTAAAGAATCAACCTGTATGAAGATGTAGGTTCAGTCCCTGGGTTGTGAAGATCCCCTGGAGAAGGGAATGGCAAGCCACTTCAATATTCTTGTCTGGAGAATTCCATAGACAGAGGAGCCTTGCAGGTTGCAGCGCAAAGAGTTGGGCATGACTGAATGACAAATATATATACTGTGGTTTTAGTAGGATGATGTAGTTGAACATAATTTGGTCCTTCATAACTGGGGCTGATGTGCCATAAACAAATTCTGAAATGACACTGTTTATTGTCCAAAAGTGTGAATTCTTGATGGCAAAATCCTTCTGGCTTCAATATTCACCATTTTATGCAACTAGTTTTCCCAGTGCACCCAGAGCTATGTTTTATTGAGCTATTCCTTTAAAATGGATAAATGATCCTCTTTGTAGATTTTAAACAGCTCTTATTTTCAAAGAGTTCACTCTTTAGTGTCAAAAACCTGAAGATTCTTTTATTACGTGGGTGCATTTATGACAACACTGCTACAAAATAGTTGATTTATTTCAAATAGTTGTTTCAAAGAAGCATTAAAGATAATCACTACTGAAAATATATTTAAAAGATAAGAATACAGCTAACTCAAAATCACAAGTAAATAGGGAGATTATGAATTCAGGATTTTCCATTGACAAAAGGTTCTGCCACTGTTCATTAATTGTTCAAGTTGGGGTCTCATAGTAAATAATACCATCTGATGAACTGCAGTCTTGTTTTAAATAGGGTAGTATACATTTGATCTAAACATACCCATAGTGAATAGTCACCAGCCTTCTACAAAGATGCACTCAACTCAGCCTCTGCAGTGTATTCTACAGAGAGACATCATTTTCTCACAGTGAGTGAAGGAGGTCTTCCTCTAGAAGGAAGCCAAGGGCAAACATATAATTCAAAGTAGTAGGAAGAGATAAGATTCAGGATCTTAGACTAAGGAGTGACTTTATTTTTTTTTCTTGCTACGGCTAGAAGCACAGCACGTGTACCTGATAATGAGGTGGACACATGCTGGACTATTCTTAGAGTTCCTATGATAATAGAAATAGTGAGCTTTACCGCTGAAGGCCTAGAGCATGACTACAAAAGGAAAAGCAGAGAGAAGAGCCCCCCTTAACCTCAGTAAATACTCTCATTTTCAATTCTGCATTGCTGTCTTAGATTTTTTCACAAGGGTCAAATATCAATAGAAAACTTAAAGATGCTTAAATTTCAGTTAAGCTAAATTTCCAAGGGTTTTTAAAAATATGCTTATTTTCCTTTTGTTAACTTCTAACCCATTTTTTCTGTGTTTGAGAAAAAATATTATTAACTGTGTATCAGTAAGTATGGCACAAACAGCATTTTTAAAACAATAACTAAACCAGTAAGGCTATCTGCTACAGTTATAATGCTTGGGAGAAAGAGAAAAAAGCAGAATACATTTTTTTTTCTTTTAATGAGAATTCATTTTTACAACTCTTGGCTTTGAATCAACACACACACATCTGTATACATAATTCCGATTACACATAAGCTGGCCGTAAATACAAATGATTTAACTAGTTAGTACCCCCACAGTTTAGTTTGCAATATCTCCTTTTAGATTTGTTCTTTTCCCTACAGTCTGTAGACAGGAAAGAAAATGATGGCTGAGCTGCATAGTCATTATCTGCTAGTTCTTTAAAGTTAGATATTAAACCTACACCATTTTTTCACATTTTAAATATCATTCATTGCATAGATTGTTATGATAAAGGAGGTTACTTGTTGTCTCTAAAATTAGTATGAAATAATCTAGAATGACCTAAATTTTTCATTTTATGCTCTTGGAATAGCAAGCCATTCCTTTTTTCATGGATTAAGAAGCTTGATTTAGGCACTTTCACTTTAAGTTCTGAAATAACCCAATCTTACCTGCTGTGCATCTTCCCATTTTTCCTTGTTGTCTTCATCGAGAAGGTTGCTAATTATTTGAAAGAAGTTCTGGAAATTAAATTAGATAAAAGATTTAATGTTACATGAGGGAGTATACTTGCTGACAACATCTATTTGGACTGATCATGCTTGAAGGTCCAAACACTTTGCAATATTGCTCGATGACCCCAACATACTATCCTGGAAGATCTCTGAGGATTCCTCTTGATCCTGGGATTTCTAGTGACTTTCATACATGCATCCACCTCAGAAGACATCAGAATAGATACAACACTTCTTTTCTCTCACAATTACTTGTCCCTGATTCTGCTGTCTCATGCCACCATGTGATTATTCCTTACAAAGCCCTCTTTGCAAACACCTATAAGACAGTCCCGTGTCTGTCTTATTCAAGTGGCCCACTTCCCTGGGGGCCCACATTCGCCTCTCACACGGCTGTGTCGAAGGGCATGACAGTGAAGGCACAGCTGAGGACCAGAGCCTTCCTCAATGGGTCCTGGCTCTGCCCTCTGTCTGGCTATATTATTTTAACGGTCACAACTACGTATCGTAAAGATGGCATGCAATTCTTTAAGTACGTGGTATAGAAAGCACTCAGTAAATCATGGCTGTTTTCAAATCCTTGCTTTTGATTCCCCTGTCCCTTGCAGCAAGTCACAACAAGCCATGAAGGGTCACGTGGTCCTGGGGATGTTCCACATCCTTGCCCTCCCCATGTCCCTGATGACCCACTGGAAACCCGGTGATGGCATCGTGTCCTGGGAGTGCCCCCCACGAGTCTCATGTCCCCTTTCCAGGCAGGCAGGCACCTTGCAGGGTTCACGTTCTGCGTCACACACCCACAGGGGCTGCGTTAGTGCCTGGTGCCTACACGAGGGATGATTACCAAGGGTGGACCGCCCCGTCCTCTCATCTTCTCTCTGTCCTGAAGACACAGGGGCCAGGAGAGGAAAACCAGGGTGCTGGTGACGGGGTCACAGGAGGCCCGGGAAGTGCACAGTGAACCTGTGACATCTGCGTAAGCTCCACGGATGGTGCTCCCTGCTGCTGTCCTCGGAGCCCATCTCTTCCAACTAGTCTGTCTGGAACTAGCAGGAACACTGCCTCACTGATCCACTCAATGCATTCGCTTAGGAGAGGTCTCCCTTTGCAGGGTGGGGGTGAGAGCCAGAATTTTTTTTACCTCCTTAGCCCTCCTCCCTCTCCAGCTAGCTTTTCAAAACAGGCCTCTATTCGAATTCTAAATAAATTCACCTGGGTGTTTTTAGAAGGAAAACAAAGCTGCTCCATCTCCTCCCGTGCTCTGAATCTGTTAATATCTATATTTAATTGCCCTATTTGTGCTATTTATTTGAATAGTTCCTGGCAATCACATGGTTGAAACATGTTTCAAGTCACAGCCTCAATAAAAGTTACAGAATATTTTATGCAACTCTTGGGGAAAAAAAACAAAAACAAAAATGCAAGTCTGTGTGAGACTGGTTTTCTAATTCATTTAACCTTTTTGTACTACCAGCCATTTTTTCCACTTAAAATGTCCTGGTTGGAGTGATAACATTTTAAGAGCTTTGTCCATTGAGCTGTAACTCTACATAGGAGCAGAAAGAATTAACCTTCAGAGTCCTCAGATTGCCTGTGGCCGGTGAGCTCGGCAGGGGACGAGATGCTAATGAGACAAAAGTTGCAGATTGTATCCCTGTTCACAACAGAGAGTGGAGCTGAGGTCCCTGACCTGTGGCTGCGTCCCAGCCCCTGCCAGCTCTCACACAAAATTCATGTCGCTCCTAACGAGGGTGCCACGCGAATGGGAAGCAATTTGTGCAAATGCATCTCCATTTCTGGGAAATCATTTCAGAGAGCGTGTTTTACTAACAGGGGGTCAGCGGCTCTGTGCTGTACGCCAAGACCCGCGTAAGCACATGTGATTCCTTGATCAAGATGATAAATTTAGAGTTAGGTTTTTCAAAATCACCAGAGAGCAGAACGTAAAAAACACAAATTTTTTAATTATACATTTAAGCAAGCAGAGGGTCTCGGAAAGGCTGTTGGACCACTCTACAAGGCCAGTAAATCGTACTGGCCTCCATCAGCGAGGGGAAATAGCTCAGAATAAAGCTCTCCTTCCATCTTCCTGTGGCTTCGATTTGGAAATGGCCAGTTGTGGGGCCATGCTGGTCACAGGGGCTTAGTCAGAACACCCTGGGGGGCGGGGGGAGGGGTTGGCATTTATGGGGATACTGAACTTCGCCTGTTTCTTAGTGTATCCTCCTCACATGCAATGCCTTTTTCACAGCATGTGGTTAATAAAGACTAACTTAAAGGAAATCACAAAGTTACAAAGTCAGTATACCACTGTTTCTCCAAGACTCAAGCATCATTCCTTTGACTTGACCCTGCTCTAATCTGTCTCAGACACTGGGGAAGATGTATATGTATGGAATCTGGAAAACAGGGGAGACAGACACAGAGAATGGATACATGAATGCAGGAAGGGAAAGGGGGATGAGTTGAGAGAGTGGCGTTGACATATATGCCCTACCAGGTGTGAAATATAAAACAGCAAGTGGGAACCTGCTGTCTAAGACAGGGATCAGCGGATCAACTGTGTGCTCTGTGATGACCTAGATGTGGGGGTGGGGGGGAAGGGGAATGAAGGGAGCTCCTTCAGGGAGGGGATATATGTACACATACGGCGGATTCTTGTAGCTCAGTCGGTAAAGAATCTGCCTGCAGTGCAGGAGACCCAGGTTCGATCCCTGGGTTGGGAAGATCCCCTGGAGAAGGAAATGGCAACCCACTCCAGTATCCTTGCTGGGAAAATCTCATGGACAGAGGAGGCTGGTGGGCTGCAGTCCATGGGGTCGCAAAGAGTCGGGCATGACTGAGTGACTAACACTTACTTACTTACGGCTGATTGACGGTGTTGTACGGCAGAAACCAACACACTGTAAATCAAGTATACCCCAACTTAAAAAATACATAAAGGAAAAATGAATTTCAACATTATTAATTCACCTTGACCTCTGCTCAAAGACCAGTCTGAGAGAACAAGGCAAAACCAAACAGAACAGAATTCTGAAGAGGGGACTCATAACATTTAGGTCGCTGGATTGAATTCCTGAGGAAAGCATAAAGAAACTTCCACAGCAGCAGATGCGCTCCTTGTAGAGTTTTTTTAAGAGCGCTGCTAACTGTGGTCAGATCGCTCTTTTGATGAATTATGGATCAAGTCCCTTAGCCCCGGAACTTCATCTGACAGGGTTTCTGGTTTGTTTTGATCAAGCTCTGATCTCTATGACTTAGACCAATTTGAAAATTGAGAGTCCTTGGCAGAGTCTGAGTTTGGAGCTTGAGCGAGCTGACCTAGTTTAACATTCCCACATTACTTATTTCTTGTGTGGTTCCGGGCTAACGGGGCCCACCGCCGCTTGCCTTCTCTGTAAGGAAGGGATGCCAACAGCTGCCAAGCAGAGCACTCTCGAAGCTCAGAGCTAATTCTCCACACAGTTATCGGACACAAGCTAAGTACTCGATATACAGAAGCTTTATGATTTTATTCCCTTGGTGCTATCTTTTTTATGACTGGCTGCATGATTTGTATTTACAGCCACATTATGGCCCGTGATTCGTTCAGCAGAACACTCTCCTTCCTGGCCTCCCCTGGGAGGGGTTTCAGAGTTGTGATGGTGAGACAGCCATCACGTGGGAGGCCCTGCGCCAAACAGCGTGGGCACCAACTTCAGGAGGCAGGACTCTGCTTGTCCCAGGCAGGAAGTATTCTGAAAATCAGCACAAGGAACGCACGTCACAAAGAAGTGCAATGTCTCTGCCACACTCAAAGTGCAAGCCCTAGATTTAGCCACAGGAGACTAAAAGGACACTCACGTTTATGGAAAGCTGTAACTAACTAATTCTTTGCTCTGTGCCTGTCTGGCTTCCACTTGACAATTTCTTAGGGACTATCTATGGTTTTCTATAAACATACTCAAGCACATCTCAGCACATAGCTTTAGCTGAATTCCTTACTGAAAGAGAGCTGTAGCTGAGGCTCATGATCTGAGATATCCAAACCACAGGAAGCATGTTCTCCTCCCCTCAACCCAGCAGCAAGTGCCTGGGCACCAAGGTGCAGAGACGAGCCCCAAGGAACAGGAGTTAGTTATCAGAACGGAAAGCTTTCATGGATTGTGGTGATCCCAACTAGAAATATACAGGGATTGTAAGAAAAGCTTCAAAGACAAGCAGGGACACTCCACTAGGACTGAGATAAACACTCCAGGACAGTCATCTAGCCGCAGTCCAGAGAGCAGCTGCAGGTCAAGTGTGATCCAGCCCCTTCCTGCCTCTTCACCCCCTCTTGAGCTATCCTGTCCCCAACCCTCTCTACCCCAGGTTCAGCAGACTTTTCAGTGCATCACAAACACGATTCTACCCAACTTCTGGACCCATACAATGTGGCTTCCTTTCTTCAACCATTTTGCTGTCCGTCTGTTTACTCAAAGAGCTGTTTATTTGTTTCTGCTTTTTTCCCCCCTTGCCCTCCACACACAGATTCACATCCCATGTCCTCAAAAAAGCTTTCAGATCAACAACACCCCCTAAAGCATATGAGGTCTGCATAGGCTCTTAGCCAGTCCATGTAAGTAATCACCTACAAGAACGTGATGTGAAGGAAGAGGTCCTATCTACCAGAAGGGCCCCTTGCTCTCTGTTCTGGGAGCTGGTGTTCCCCAAAACCTGGAGAATCAGTATGACCGTCTCTGATGCTCTGTCTCTGCCCCCAGGCATGAGCACCCCAGCAAAACTACCACGAGCTTACCCAGCAACAGGTAAGTGCTCCTTCACCCTAATGTCAGGCAGGCAGCAGGCAGTCGTAAGCACCACATACAGGACAGAAGACACGATGAGCTGCAACTGTACTGTGTAGGTTTTTTGTGCGATATATCACAATTCTCAATTATGATGCATTTGTGCAATGATCGGTGTAGGTCTTTTTTCTCAACCAGCCTATGATTTAGTTGAGATTATTTCTATTTTGCTCACTCTCA